TCGCCTGCCGTAACGCCCAGAAGAGTGAAGCCACGCGAGACCTCATCCTGGCCACCCACCCCGCCGCCCAGGTCTCTACCGTGGAAGTGGACCTGGGTAACCTGGCTTCCGTCCTGCGTGTTGCCCGTGAGCTCCGCTGCAGGTATCGGGTCTCTGTCCTCCACCCGACCAGACCCCTGCCCCGTCCACTCTCTGCCCCTCACCCCTGTACTCTTCCCCATGCAGGTTTCAGCGCCTGGACTTTGTCTACCTCAATGCTGGGATCATGCCCAATCCACACGTGAACTTCAAGGCACTCTGGCATGGTCTCCTCACCGGGTAGGAGATGTTGGGGGGGTCTGGTCCCTGACTTGTGGGCAGTATGGGGTGCTGGCAGCATCATCACGGCCAAGGCATGCCCTTGAGTCCAAGGGGACCGAAGGGGTCCCTTATCTCTGTTCCCCAGTGTGATGCGGAGCACATCCCTGTGGATTGCATGGCCTCGCGTGGGGTGGGTTTGGCAGCTGGGTGAAGCGCCGGGTGCTCCAAGGCACCCAGTGCTGCTTCTGGTCCCTGGTGTGAAGCCCACTGTATGCAGGGGGAGGGCAAGAGTTCACCCAGCTCCTGGCACTAGGCACTGAGTGAAAAACGCCGGTGTGTGGCTGGGGAGGGGAAGTTTGCTCTTACTGTGTCTCCTTACTCTTGTTTTTCTTCTGCTGTAGGTTTTTGTAGTTGTTCTTAGCTGTGGATCACGGTGTTTTCGCAGTGAAGCTGGTAGTTGATGCTTGCGGTATAAGCACCATGGGGATAAGCATCGTTACTCTATAAGCAGCATGGGGAAAAGTTGAGCTGGGGAGTAAAGCGGCTTGCATTGGGTCTGATACAGTTGTTAGGGTGTTGGACACAGATGCTAGACTGCTTTCCTTACCTGAATTAGGCATGGCCCTAGGCTTAGTTCCATGTTGGAGCTTGATCTTGTTATCTGAATGTGAAATGGAAGAGCAAGACTTTTTTTTTTCTTTTTTTTTTTTTTTTAAATGGTACTTTACTGCGGTGAAGTAAAGGAAGGGACAAGTCTTCTCTGGTCTAGTCAGTAGTGAGACACTTGCAAATAAAGGGGCTGGGATAGTCTGCAAACTTTTTCCAGACATTTTTTTCATGGATTAATAGAGCTCTTGAAGGTGAAACTAGAGAGTCCGTGTGGAGCCTGTGAGGCCAGGGATACTTCTGAAGGACTGAAGTGGGGGAGCAGTAGATGGTTCCCGGCAGTGTACCCTTCTAACTCCTGTCCTTTGCTTCCAGGAAGGTGCTTCACATGCTGACCACTGCAGAAGGCATAATGACCCAGACGGACAGGCTTAACGGAGACGGACTGCAGGAAGTGTTTGCTACCAACCTCTTCGGACATTTTATCCTGGTGAGGCTGCGTATGACGATGGAGCCCTCGGTCTGGTGGTTGGGTGGGTACACCACCTGGGGTGGGTACAGGCGATACTGGGTGAATCAGTTCTGTCTTGCAGGTTCGGATGCTGATGGAGGCTGCAGCCTGATAGATAAGGAATGATAGGGCAAAGGTCGTGGGCTTTGTTAAAATAGCAATCAATGGTGATAGTCATTGTTGCAAGAGTTAATATAATCTTGAGGTTACTCTAGTTAGTCAGTGGATAGAGGTAAACCATACGTAGCTCTCTGTCCAGGGTAAATACCGAGATTAGGCTGTGTGAAATTCTGAGGTGCTCAACTCGGCTGCGTAAGAGAACGGCAGCTGCTTGTAAATGCTCCTGGTGGACCTTGTCCTGAAGTTATACCTGAGCAGCAGCTGCTTCTGGCTAGTCTAGTGGAGACTGGCCGAGGAAGCAGAGATAAGCTCGCAGCTTTTAAGAACTGTAAAGCTATACTGTAAGACTTGAAGATTACTGTGTTAAATAAGTTAACAATTCTTTTGCAGGTTCGTCAGCTTGAGTCTCTACTCTGCAGTAACGAAAAGCCCTCGCGTCTCATCTGGACCTCTTCCAGCAATGCCAGGGAGTCTGCCTTCAGCCTCTCTGACTATCAGCATGCCAAGGGGCAGGAATCATACAGTTCCTCCAAATATGCTACTGACCTGACAAGTGTGGTTCTGAACAGGAAATTTAATAAGCAGGTGATGACGAGGTTTGCATGTCTGAAGAAACCTAATGAGCTCCTACTATTTATAATTATCATTACATTGTTGCTACCTAGTTGCATTCATTCCTAGCAATCTGCTATGTTCCTTAATGCACATGTTAAGAGCTAAACACGGCTGAGGTTGAATCGGTGGTCTCAGAAAAACTTCTGAAAGCAGAAGACTTTAGGAGTGGTCCCTACCTTGCAAGCCCTAGCTGTCTCTGTAGACCCAGGATTTGGTCTTGAAGAGCAAAGAGCTGCTGCTCTTTTCAGGCGTACCTGCCTATGAGAACAGGGCTGCTCTGGCAGCGTTGCCTTGCAAGCACTTGAGGTGCAAGCTCTGCTGTCTCTCCTGATGGCTCCGTGCTGCTATTCAAGTTTGTCACACTAAAATGTGTGACCAACCTGCCCACCCTGTCACGGGGGATTGCTGGATAGTCCAGTGACAGTGATTGCACTCTTCTGAAATACTTCAGGAGAAAATTGTTTAGTCCTAGAAGGCTGAACTCTTATCTCTCAAAGGTGAGGTAACCTTTGGTCTGAGCGGGCTGTAATTTGTGGGATGACTGCTGTTGCTGGTGAGCTGCCTGCAGACGCAACGTGAGGTTGTGATGTGTTGGGAGGCTGCGCCTTCTGTCTCATGGCCTTGCCATGGGGATGGATTTAACATGAACATCTCCAGGTTGGACCTCTCAGAAACCACTACATCTAATAACTCTCTGGCTCTGGTAACTTTAGAGAGAAGAGCATCTACTGTTAACTGGTCTTACACTCACCTTCGTTTTCTTACTGAGAAGTACCAGGAGGGAAGGAGTACAATCTATTCTTAAACTAACTTGTGTATTTACACACTGACTTGGTTTCTTCTCTGCAGGGTCTGTATTCCAGTGTTGTTTGTCCTGGTCTTGTTATGTCTAACATGACCTACCGCATTTTGCCGGTTTTTCTGTGGAAGCTGCTAATGCCCATCATGTGGTTGGTAAGTGGATATCCTGGCTGGTTTTGGGTTGGGTTTTGGGTTGACATACTTCACTGCAAGTGAATGTGCAGCGTGCTTCTGGCTGCTTGCTACCCGTGCTGCTATAGAGCTTTTCCTTCTGTTGGACTGGGCAGGCTGGGTCCTCTGCAAACCTTCCCTTTGGCACTTCGGGGCCTCGATTTCCAAGCCGAGTTTGGCGGTTTGGTGCTGGACAGCACTGGGCATCGAGCCAGGGTTCAGCCCTTCAGCCATAGCAGCGTTTGTCAAGGCTCCCCTTGGAAAGTTTGCCGGCCCGTTGTGGGCTTGTGAAACCCTATCGTGTCGGTGACGGCAGAGCTCAGAACAAAACTTGGCCCCTGTGCTTTGAAGTGCTGTTCGTTTCTATAGCAGACTGTGTAATTTTTCAGTGTTCTTCTTTCCGTCCCTCCAGAAGGCAGTGTCTCCTGCTCTCTTCTTTCCATCCCTCTGGAAAGCAAAGACTGCAGGTCTCTATTACCGCTTCCCCTAAACTTTGCTTGCCTTTCTTCCTCTGGGCTTCGGCTTTCTGGGTGCACTACAGTTCTGTCCCTGCGTGCACGCTGCCTGCTCTGAGCCTTGATGCTCTTGCTGCAAGATTGGCCTTTCTGCTTAAGCTGCCCCAGCTGGCAGCAGCCGATCCTGATGGATCACGTTTCTCCTGGCAGTGGAGAGGCGATGCCTTCTTGCTTGTCCTCAACACCGGTAGTGTTGCAGATCCTCTCTGCCTCCTGCCTGATGTGCTCTTGGGACCATTCAAGTCAAGAAGTGGTGCCCACATGCGGCGTGCTGCCTCTTGCTTTGGGGGTGAGCTCTGTGTGGGGACACAGAGAGGCTTGCTGATCTGGTGGGTGGCTCCAGAGACTAGAGTTTGTGGTGATAAAGGGATGCTGTAGTCATAAGTGTGTGGTGTTACCTCTCGTCAACTTTGAGAAGCATTTCTGCCTCTGGTAGATGATCTGGTGTGGCTGGGCTGCAGAGGGCTTGCCCAAGAAACCTTGGGCCAAAATATAGATTGTGTCATGTACTTCTTTTCCCCTCAGATCCGCTTTTTTGCCAAAACTTACACTCTGACACCATATAATGGAGCAGAAGCTCACGTAAGTAGTTCACAACTTGATTTTAGTATTGTCCCTTTCTGGGTAGCTCTTCCAGTGTCTGCTGGCTGGAACAAAGAGCCTCTCTGCCGGCTGGTGGGTGGGTGCTGTATTTCCCCCTGAACAGCTTGTGAGTGCTGCGGGACCAGCTGTGACCAGGGCTGATCCAACGGGAGATGCTTTGTGGGCACCTGATGAAGGGCATAAACCAAATGCTTTTGGAAAAAACACTATTCCCTCCCCCTCGGTCAGGGAGAATGCTGCTCTCCCTGTTGGCAGCCAAGCAGCCAGAGACGTGCAGGCACAGGGGATGGAGGTGGGTAACGCGCCGTGTGCATCAAGAACAGCAGTGAGCAGGTTTAGCCATGTGAGCTGCTTTAGTGCTTTGGCACTGGGGAACAAATATGGTTTCCTGTTGGCTCAGGTGGGTCACAGCTGAGGGGAGCCAGCTCAGAACTTCTGTCGACAACAGGTCTTCCCCTGCCTGGTAAAAGCACCTGTGGTGTGTTCTCCTGTCTCCGTTGGCGGTCGGGTCCTTGACTGCCGGCTTGGTTGGGACAGCGTGCACTAGGCTTGGGACACCTTTGTGCTGTTCTTCCTAGATGTGGCTGTTCAAACAGAAGCCAGAGTACCTGGATGCGCTTGTCAAATACCACAGCTGTACTTCTGGACTGGGGAAGAGCTATGTGGAGCCCAGAAAGGTAAGTGGAACGGCAGCCTCCGGCTGCAGGGGACTTGGCTAGAGGTTTGCCATCTGCCTTGCATGGAAGGATTGGTGCCAAGGATGTCCCGTGGCTGGAGGGGAAACAAGATGCATGTTGAATGCTGACCTGGGGTTGTCTGCAAGGTTTCCTAGAGTAGCTCCTGGCTCAGGCTGGAGTCTACAAGACAGTGGAAATTATGGTTGGTACAGGATGAGTGTGTAATGATGCTTCCCCAAAATATGTTCTGGCTTGTGTCCTGGTGATAGATGGCTTTAGTTGCCTCTCTGTGAATGTAGAAGCTCTGGAGATGCACCCTGCTATCCCCAGAGCTGCCCTCAGCATCTATGCTGGCTGCCACCAAGGTAATGGTCTCACAGTGCTGTTCTTACTGTCTTCCAGATTGATGTGGATGAAGAAACTGCTGAGAAATTTTACCAAAAGCTGTTGGAACTGGAGAAGGAGGTTCTAGAGAGATACAGTGATCTCCTAGATTAAGTAAAGCCAGTCTCAGTGGGATAATAGTCTCATATCAGTAATATGGGCTTTCTTCATTCTGGTGCTACTTCTGTTGCCTGCTGTTCTGCAGGCATATGGCTTCAGACCCCATCTTCCTTCTCGACAGAAGGTGAACAGTTCCTGAAAATGGAAATGTGAAAACTGAAGAGAAATACTTAGTCTTTCTGGTATGGGTTTTTTTTCTGACATAAAACCAGACACCTAGAGTAGGTGGAGACTGTCTTAACACGGTTGCAAAGCGGTATCTTGCAAAAGCATGACTGAACTGTGCACAGTTCAGGAACAGCCTCAAAACATGTGGTTTAAATCTGACTTAGTGCAGGAAAGGCAACAGTCTGGGGTGCTGCTCTGTGTCTTGGCTCTACCGGTCTTTCTAGACCGCTCAAACACATTACCTGTGGCTGATCCTGAAGTACTTGAAGGTCCATCTTCAGAAGAGCTGCTCTCCATTTGTACACCAAAGCTGGGACCAGCTTGCCAGACGTGCTCAACAAGATTGAACATTACTGGAAGTCAGGCTCTGCACAGCATCTGGAGCCGAGCTCCTGAAGAGCTGGCCTGAGAAGCGCACCCCTTGCCTCAACTGTGAGGACAGATGCCTTTTTGTCCCCCGGGTATGGGGGCCATGTATGTTGTAACCACAGCCGGCTGGGAGGACTGAAGCTGTTGATGTTAACCTGGGCTCAGGGCTAGTCTGCTCTGTTTGTAGCAAGAGTGAGAGGTTACCATGTTATTTTATCTATTTAACGGTCTTTTTATATAAATTTACTGTACCAAGTATTCTTTCTGTTGCCTATCTGGGGAGCTTCACCAAGTACCTGGTGTACTTCAAATGCTGTGATGAATAAATGACTGGAACTGAGTTGTCCTTGCTGCAGTGGTCTCTTTACTCTGATAGCTGGCTGCTTTTGACACTGAGATCCGGAATGGAGGTTGGTTGGTTTGTTGCCTTGCGCAATGAGCCTGTGCACGCCCGGCAAGCGTGAGGTCTGTTCTCTCCTGCCATAGCAGAGCTGTTAACCACCTCTTCGTGTTTACTGCTCTTGTTCCTCCTCGCTAATGAAAGACGTGAGTGACTTCTGGAGACTTCAGTGTGATTTTGTGTGTTGAGCGCCTGTGGGGTGCCTGGGACTATTTCCCAGCCTTAGGCACTTGGGAGACGTAGATGCCTCCGGTGCTTCCTCACCCTGACGTGTCACAGCCTCGCCGATTTAATACTCCCCAGTCAGGGAGCGTTACGGTGTGCCCAGGCGCGTGCCCGCGGGCCGGGTCAGGCTAGGAGGGAGGCTGCGCTGCCC